TACGGCATACAACCGTTTCAATACGGGAAAAATTTGTTTGTAATAATGTATCTATTCGTTTCTGTTTCTCCCTCGTGATGGGATATTGTAGGATGAACGGTGAGGTTTATAAGGGGGCACGGGGTGGCCAATACGATCTGAATTGGTCTGCAATAAGGTAATGACACTGATAAGGGGTTTCCATTGCTGTGGTGTTGGAAACCGGTTCGATTGGGAGCGGTAGTGTAGCGGTTAGAGCACTGCGCTGCGAACTCCGGCCACCCGAGTTCGATTCCCAAAAACCGGTGATGATTATGTGAACTGGCACTGGGCCTCCCCTAGGTCGACTCGGTCTCAAATTACTACCTGGTGCTGTGTGTAAACATCGTCACTAGGGGAGACAAAAGCGGTCGGGCGTGGTTGCTGGTCACCCACCCCCTCGTGTTCTGTGCCGGCCTTCCTAGGTGCTCGCTAACAGCACTTGCCCCAACAATCTGTTGCCGGCTATACGGGGGGTTTTGTGTTTTGTTTTTATGTTGTCGTAAACCGGTTCAGTGGTTGTGGACATTTAGACGTGTATGGCGCCAAGCCCCAACTTCACGAGCTGGAAACAAAAGCGGTGTGTCTGTGTGTGTGTCTGTTTGTGTGTGTCTGTGTGCGTGTGTGTCTGCGTGTGTGTCTGGCTAAAACAACCCCCTACCTCCTCGTGGTGCCGGACGGCAACGCTGTGGTGGGCAGTGACGTGGTGGGAGGGCCAATTTAGATTGACCATTCCCCTCATGGCGTTTGTACCCTACCACAGCAGCCAAATGGGGGCTCTGGACCAGTGCGAGGGGCTGGTAACCCCTCCACCTTCAATTAACTACCACTAAAGTATGATGCAAAACATTTATTAAGCTTGTGCCGGAGGCCCCTGTGGGACAGGCGTCTATGACGTCTCCTGGCCAAACCCCATTTGGCGGAGTCCAGGAGACTGAATCCTTACCCTCGGGGCTCCTCCAGAAACAACAAAAAGCCACTACGGATGGCCACGTGGAATGTTCGAATGCTCGAACATACTCTGATAAATATGCATTGTACTTGAAACTGATTGGTCCACACCAGAGACATCTTTCTTTTGAGCCTCGTCTCAAACGGTGTCTTTGAGCTGTACGCCTTTTGGCTTCCTCTGGTCTAACACTGCTTGAGACGAGCCTCAAAAGAAAGCTGTCACTGGTGTGGACCAATCAGTTTCAAAGACAATGCCCAATGCTATTATCAATACTATTATCAGAGTATGTTTTTTGTTTGCATTCTGACCATACGTATTGTGGTTAATGCGGACATGATTCCTTGTAAAGAGGTTTCAGTTTGGTGTTTTAACAACTTAACACCTGTTATGTTGCCAGAAAAATGGGAAAAACCTGTTCTTATATTTTGGTACTGGTGTAATAAAGGTCGTGGAAGCGACTTCTGGAATCCGGTCTTTATTTGTCTTTCGTTCACAACACTCCCTATCTTACTCCTTCATGCTGCTGACAGACAGCGTGAGAGGGAGAGAGACACGCGCGGCCACGTGGCAGCCTGGACCACGTGGCAGCCTGGACTCCGCTCCAGCGTGGCCTCACCCTCCGTTCGTTCCAGATCTGACCACGTGTTGTTCGTCTCTACCCCTATTTAATACCCGGGTCACGTGGTACCTTTCCACCAATCCTGGTTAACCTCTATGGAATCTTCTAGACTCCATCGTATGTTCCCGGGACCACGCCCCTGACTCGTCCCCTCATTGGCTGTGGCTAAAGCCAGCAGAACCAATCCTCTACTTACAGATGTCACCTTCCCATTACGTCAGGGCCACGCCCCTAGACTTCCCCCCATTGGCTATGGGCCAGGACCGGCAGAGCCAATCATCGTAACGAGTTGTGATCTGTCAGCAACCCGGAAATATCCTCACATTACACTGGCAAAGGAGGTCCCATGATATTTAACATATATTTCGACCACGTAGTTCGTCAAGATTTCAATAGCTGTACCGAAGGAATTTCCATCAGGTAAAGATACAATGGGAGGCTGATCGATGCCCGGGTGCGGTCAAGGGATGGCTCTCGATTGCTCAATCATGTTAAGTATGCCGATGATCTGGTAATTGCTGCTCACTAAGACGAAGCACCTGCCTGGACATTTTGTACCATCAGACACTCCACCCCCACAACTCCCAATTGGTGATAGGGCAGTTGGGGAGAGAGTGGAGAGATTCCCATACCTGAGCAGTGTGCTCATGACCGGCTCCGGTTTAAGAGCAGAGGTCTCACTCCGAATCAATCGAGCAACATTATCCTTTCATCGGTTGTGTAACGCTGTGTGGAAGCTACCTGGTCTGTCGCTCCGCACGAAGCTTCAGGTCTTCTCGGCCACGGTCATTCCCTCCCAGCTCTACGCTTACGAAAAACATGGACCCCCCTAACGGAACATCTTCACCAGTTAGAAACATTTAGGCTGGCCTACCTATGATCCATCCTCGGTTTAACCAGGTTGGATTGTGTGAGGAGCTCACCTATCCTTGAAAGATCTGGGCAAAGTCCCATCAGTGAGCTTCTGAGTTGGCTAAGTCATGTAGCCCGCATGCCCAGCCACCTTATGCCTAAACACCTTTTGTTCAGCCGGATCGAGGGGGCTAAACGGGCGCGGCACGATCTAGAGAAGAGATGGAGTGATGTGTTATAGGAGGATGTGGAGCTGAGTGGACTTGGCGATGACTGGTACCAGCGGTGTCAAGATCGGCCTCTGTGGAGGAGTCTCGTGAAGGACACTACTGAGCAGTTAGAGGCAGTCGCCCTCCAACAACAACGGAGGGGGGAGGAGCGATGCTCACAACAACGAGCGGAGTGCGGGTGGCTAAAGCACAGCAAGTTGGCACATACTCTTTGGTTCTTGCGGTAAAGTCACGTAGGTATAAATAAATAAATCACGATGTTTCGGGCGCAACACAAGCGTCCGTCATCAGGTGAGACAACCACAGCAAGAAACAATTGCTGAAGTGGGCAAAAGGGCTGCTGCAACAAGAGGCCAATTAGGCAAGAGAAGGGGGGAGGAGCCAGGGAGGAGAGACAGGGAGGGTGAGGATGTGGGGTAGGGGGAGTGGAGGCTACAAGTTAGATACAAGCACGGCAATTAAATGCCGGGGTGGGGAGGGGAAGTGGACGGGACTAGGAGTGGGAGGGTTAGGAGCCAGGGAGGAGAGACAGGGAGGGTGGGAGTGTGGGGTAGGGGGAGTGGAGGACACAAGCACGGCAAACAATGCCGGGATGGGGTGCGGCGGGGAAGTGGGCGCGGGCTGAGAGTGGGAGGGTTAGGAAACTGGAGATGTGGATATGAAGGCAGGCCAAAAGCAGTTATGGTTTTACCTGGTTAATAACATCGTTCCAATGATTGCTCAATCTGTATCCATCTTCCCGGTTGAAGTTATGTCTGTTTATATATCTGGATGGCTTCATGAACAAATCTTTGATAGTAGCCCGAAGGTTTGCAGAGCACCTTGATCTCGGAAAATAACAATATCATGAGAGCCCACAGCAGTTATAGCAATGGTCAGCCACGGCGGAGGTATGAGTTCTGCCGTGTTTCAGATCTGCCTTGTGCTCGGGAACACGGTCCGAGACATGACGTTTCGTTTCCCCAATGTAACAATCACCACAGGTGCAAGTTGGCGCAGTAGGGGGCACAAGTAGTGCATCAACCAGTCATCCCAGTCACTCGACCCGTGGCACCTGGGTCTGCCGCGTGACTGCCTGACAGCGGGCGTTCGACACTTCATGTGGCCTCAGCGTGCACATAGCCTGGCACAAGCGTTGTGGTGACATCACCGCCACTTAGTGGCGAATGGCAGTTGTTGCTGTTGCGTGTGTGTGTGGTTGCGCCCATCTGTGTGAGCCTATGGGTCTCTATGTGGGTTTCTGTGTGGGTCACTGTGGGCTTTGTGTGGGTCTATGAGTCTCTATGTGGGTCTCTCGATGGGGGATCTTTGTCTTTCATTTATTGGCGATCGTCGGCAGGCGGGTGGAGTGAGCCCAGTGATTGATGCCAGATCTGTAACCAATCTCTGGTTGTGGCTTTGCTCTCCAACACACCGGTGTGAGATACTACTGTAGTGTGTGTAAGTACTGAGGCGCACACACTATATTTGTCGAGGCAACGCGTTAAATAAACAATTCACTGATCACTGGGCTCTATTATTAAGTGTGGCTATATTGTCCTAGACTGTTCACTATGTGTGTGTGAGTTAGCTATCACTGGGTCGGTAGCACACTTACTCCAGACCCACGTTTCCCCGACTAAACCTACATGACGATGAGGAGCGGTAGCGAAGAGCAGAGTCCTCTTCAGTGGATCCCCAAACGAGCCCCCAGTCCCCTCGGCGCTCCCCCGTTTTATCCCCTGGCCGCCGCCTCTCGCCGCCCTCGGCCACGCCCTCTCCTGTATCCCGACTGGAGCTCCCCGCTCCCGGTCACGTGACCGCCAGTCCTCCAATGGTGGCTCCCGGCGCTCAGCAGTGGCTGGCGCAACAGCGTAGAGACCACTTTGTGTGTCTCTGCAATAGTAAGGAATTGCCATGTTTTGTTAACGTAACAAACCCTTACTAATTGTGTTGGGTGGTGGCGGGTTAAACGACACTTTTAAAAACAGGGTGCTTCAAAAATGTCTTAACACTTATATAGGACTATCGTTTTTAATGTAAAAAAGCAGATAATACACTGTAACATAATAACAAATGTGTGTAAATAGCCTTAAAAAGTCAACGAGTCTCCAACTTGTTCACCATCGTTGTCAACGCATGCCTGGAATCTTCTCCAGGTGGTCTCCAGAGGGGCCCCGGAGGCACGTTTCTTGCAGTATTGTTGTAAATTCTCTGAAGTAGTTAACATTTTTTTGAAGCACCCTGTTTTTACTGCGACCTAACCCAACAAACCTGTATTATGGATGATATTTGGTCGCGAAAACCTACCACGTGTTAAACCCATCTCCGTCGTTTCGTCTTTTCCCAGACCGAAGATGAAAGTCAAACTGAGCCCTCAGTGCCAGCAAACCTTGATGAGCATCGCCAATGACCCTCCGCCACAGACGTGAGAACACATCGGTTCAACATCCGGACGGGGTGGGGTGGGGGGGGGTTTGGATGGTGGTTGTCGATGGATGCTTTAGGCCAACTTCGGCGTGCTGGGTGCTCCGTGACCCCTGGTGTCGGTGCAGTGGAACGTTAAGTGCTTGGCCAGGCTCACCAGGTGAGCGACTAGGGAGCGATCCACTTGGATCACTCACCGAGTGAGCGATGGAGGGAGCGCCGCTCGAATTGCTTCACTGGGTGAGCGACGGGGGGGTAGCGCCGCGGACGCGGGCGGCGGGGGTGGTGGTGACCCCGCTCTGTCTCCTGCCTTAGGTTCAACGAGCAGTCGGTGGTGGAGAAGATTCTGAAGGTTCGCGATTGTCCCTGGCTCGAGAACCGCACCGAGATCGAAGCCTTCCGGTAAGGCGTTTCACTCCTGGCTCATACGATGGCGGCGGTGGCAGCGGCAGGGTGTTGGGCGTTTTGGTGTGGCCTGTCCTCACGGCGCCCGGCCACCTTTGTATCCCCCGCAAGGATACTTGCGGTTCTGCTGATCGCTACGTTGGTGGCCGTGGGCGCGAGGGGGGGGGGTCGAACCCCGGGGGGGGGGGGGTCGCGGGGTTGCAACGCAGGGTCGCTAACCGCTCCCCCGTGAGACACAAGACGCACGGACAAAGATACGTAGTAAAACAAACTGTAAAAAAATTGTATCAAATTGTAAATAAAAACAAAAAAACTGTTTACAAATTTTGGAAAAAGAAGTGAAAAACTGTTTACATTAATTTCTTTTAAATGATAATTGGTTCTTTACCCTTCTATCTGGCAACAAAAACTGACACCTTTTTGCAAGGAGTCATGTTTGCATAGACCGCAATACCTGCAGTCATAAATACAAACAAAAGACATAACTCTGATAATGTGCAATGTCTTTTGTTTGTATTTATGACTGCAGGTATTGCGGTCTATGCAAACATGACTCCTTGCAAAAAGGTGTCAGTTTTTGTTGCCAGATAGAAGGGTAAAGAACCAATTATCATATTTTTACTGGCAAATGAGGTCCCCATAGTGTTCTTTTAAATGTTTATAAAATAGTAAAAAAAATTGTAGAGAAATACTGTTTAAAAACTTTTTTGTTACGTAAAATAACAGATGAAAACTATGAAAAAGAAAAAAAAGAACTTAAAAATATACGTACAAAAAATTAACAAAAACTGTAAAAAAACAAATGTAAAAGAAAATTGCGAAGAAAAAAAGAACTGTTAAACATTTTGTAAAAAAGTACAGTTACAAAAATATTGTTAAAAAGTTTCAACAAAAATCCCCTTGACCTCCCGTGGGGCAGTGTCATGGCACCCACCCGTGACCACTCCCTGGCGTGGAGTCGCCCTCTCGTGGCCGCGAGCTGCAGGTCGCGGAGCCTCCACGAGGGGGCTCACAAACAAAGCACGCACCACGTGACGCAGCTCAGAGCGATACCACCACAGGCATCTATCTCCAGGACTGGCTGAAGTGGCTGTGTCTCTCTCCTTGTCTCTCCATCGCTCCGGCTGTCTCCATCTCTCTCTGTGTCTCTGTCTTTCTTTATCAATGTCTCTCTGCATCTCTCTCTGCATTGCTCTGTCTGCCTCCATGTCTCCGTCTCTGTCTCTGTTTCCCTGTCAATGTAACTCTGTATTTATCTCTCTCTGCATCACCCACTCTCTAGATCTCTCTCTATGTTTAGAGGCCTGCTTAAGGCACGGCTCCGGCTGGAGCACGCATACCACACACATGTCGGTGATGTGCACGTCTTCTTCGAACGCTGGGGAGCCGGAAAAGCCCCTCTCTGTACCAGCGTGCACGGCACCCTCGTGGTGTTCACCTTCTGAAGCGCTCGCTCGTCACCGTGGCGTGCGCAATGACCACCACCACCACCACAACCACCACCACCACAACCACCACCACCACGTGACTTTCCTTTCGTGTTGTGCGCGGTGCTTTGAGCGCCACGGCGCGTGGATTTGTAGCGTTTATTTTCATTTGTTTGCTGGTGACTGTGTATTTCATATCGAAATCGCCTCCAGTGCTGTTTCTGCTGGCGGCAATAAAAGTTGTTTAAAAGTCAAAAGTCTCTCTCCCTTCGTTTATCTCTCTCTCTGTCTCTCTCTCCGTCTCCCTCTTTCTATTTCAATGTCTCTCTGTATATCTATCTCTGTCTCTCTTTCTCTCTGTGTCTCTCTTTCTCCGTCTTTCTCTCTATGCCTCTCTCTCTATAATGTCTCTGTCTGCCTCTCTCTTTGTCTCTTTCTGTCCCTTTGTCTGTCTCCACCTCTCTCTGATGTCTCTCTCCGATGTCTTTCTCTGATGTCTCTCTCTGCATCTCCATCGCTCTGGTCTCAGGTCGACTCACGCGAATGCAACGGGAGGAGCGAGCCAGGTGGTGATCACGCAAAGAAACTCGCCCATCAACACGAGCATCGTCTTCAACCAGAGGAGAAAGACGCTCGTGGTGGACGCAAAAGTCACGAATCTCTTCCTCAAGGTGCCACTCCCTCCCCCCACCCCACCACCCCCCCTGGGGGTGGTGGGGTGGGGGGAGGGAGTGCTATTGCGCGCCTACCACACGCACAGAGACACACACAGTGACACACAAAGACAGTGACAAAAATCCCCCATATAGCCTTAACAGATTGTAGGGGCAAGTGCTGTTAGCAAGCACCTATGAAGGCCGGAGCGGTACACGAGGGGGTGGGTGGCCAGCAACCACGCCCGGCCGCCTTTGTCTTCCCAGTTTACGATGTTAACACACCGCACCAGGCACTTAGGCTGAGTCGACCTAGGGGAGGCCCACGACCGGTTCAAATAATCATCACCGGTGTTGGTGGCCGTGAGCAGGAATCGAACTCGGGTCGCCGGGTTCGTAGCACGCTAACCACTGCACCACCGCTCCTCGTGAGACTACGGGGCAGGCAGGACAGTAATCGAATATAAAGATTCGTGTTTTGTTTTTCGGTTGAGCCACATCAGAATGTTTTATTTATCTTGGAAAAATCCGATGAGCTTTGAAGCCCTTTTTAAATCCTTTATATTAAGTTCGCTTGCTTGCTTGCTTGCGTGCTTGCTTGCTTACGACCGTGCAAATCTTTCGGTCGTTTTTTAACCCACTTCCCGTGATCTAATCGAGCTGACATTTTCCACATAGACTCGTTGTGCTAGACAATTAATGTTCGTGAAAAAAATTCCCAAAATTTTACACTTTTAGGAAAAAAAAAATTATTTTACATATATTCACATAGAACTCATTCATGGCTTTGGCTGAACGTCACAGTGTAAGAGCCCAGAGCGTAACCCCTCCACAGGCCGTGGCGGAGTAGCGCAGTTGGTAGCGCCCTTGCTTCCCATGCCAAAGGTCGCGGGATCGATCCCCCGCGTCCTCCACAGGCGAATATATTTTTAAATCCTTTATATTAAGTTCGCTTGCTTGCTTAGGACCGTGCAAATCTTTCGCTCGTTTTTAACCCACTTCCCGTGATCCAATCGAGCTGACATTTTCCACACAGACTCGTTGTGTGTGACAAATAATTTTCGTGAAAAAAAAATTGCTAAATTTTACACTGTTTAGGGAAAACAAATTAAATATTTAATTACCAATTGCTTAATGGTGGCAGACAATCATCTGACCCATAGGTGGCAGCCATCTCAAGCCAGAGGACGAGAAGACTCTAGCCGCCACGCATATAAAGGATTTATAGTGAAAAACTTTGTTTTTACGGGTTTACTTGTTGACAAACTTAACCTATTCCATACTCTTTCGTTTTTTTGTTAAAGTCACGAAAGCTTCAAATCAAGATTAAACCTATTTTGTTTTTTGTTAACTGGTGTAAGGCCCCAGTGAGCTGCCACAATGTTCCTTTTCAGGAGCGACCTGGCTATCACAATTGATAACTCACCGAAGTGGGCTGATCATCATCACCACGTGGAAATTTATTTCAGCCAAATACTTTAAACGCACGTTTCTAAATGTGGAGGCAAAAACCGGTGGATCTGGAAAAAAATCCCCGCGACCACAGAGAGATAGACATGCAAACTCGAAATAAACAGCAGCAGGCGTCAGGATTGGGATCGAACCCACGACCTCCTGTACACCAGGCGAGGTAGTTAACATCTCACCACTGATGTCCAGTAGGGATGGGTTAGAAAATTACAACAACCAACAATTCTAGATTTGAAGCTTTCGTGACTGCAAGGATTCATATTCTTAGGTTTTTTCGGTAAAGTCACGTAGGTAAAAAATTCTTAGGTTTTTTCGGTAAAGTCAACCAACAATACAAAACACTGATTGGTGTGCAAAGTACAGCAACGGTATTAAAATCATATAAAACTAAATTAATAAACTAAAACTAGACTGTGTTTTAATTGTTACCGGGTACAGGAAGGCCCAACTGAGCTGCTAGCTAGTAGCTTATTTGCAGAAGATGCCTGTCTGTCACGAATGTCGTTCAACGGTCGTCGGGGAAGCGAGATGGCCAATTGGTCTCCAACCGATACCCCTTTCCCAGTGCCACCTCCACCCATGGCTACGCCAGCTACCAACCTACAGCATGGCTGATCACGATGATGATGATGACGTGTGATCACTGATGATGGTGGCTAATGATGATGACTGCTTCCGCTGATGATGGCTGATGATGGCTGCTGATGATGATGATGGTGGCTGATGATGGTGATGTGGCCGCAGGAGTTCCCCGAGCGGAGTGGGCGCTACCCTCGCTGTGCCATCGTGGGGAACGGAGGGATCCTCGCCAACAGCTCCTGTGGCTCCCAGATCGACGCAGCCGACTTTGTGATCCGGTGAAAGGGGAGGGAGAGTGGGGAGGGAGGGAGAGAGCGAGGGAGAGTGAGAGAGAGGGAGTGTGAGAGTGAGTGTGTCTATAAATGTGGGCAGGGTTGAACTCTAGACATGTGAGCACGATTGACCTCTAGACGTGTGGGCAGGGTTGAACTCTCGACGTGCGGGCAGGGTTGTGGCTCAACCCCCTTCACTGTCCACCAGATGCAACATCCCTCCCGTGGGGGGCGACTTCCAGGACGACGTGGGAAGCAAAACGGACATCGTCACCTCCAACCCGAGCATCTTCATCAATCGGTGAGCGAGCGAGCGAGTGCGCATGGCCACGTGCCGATGGTCGACTCAGCCTCAAGTGTGCAGAAAATGACGCCAACTGGGGAGACAAAGGCGGCCCTGGCCGTGGTGCTGGCCCAACCCAATTCACCCAGCCAGTGTACAATTTCTCCTCTTCACGAACAGCACTTACCCCAACATTGGCGGATCTTTGTCGTTTGTGTTGCCTCGGTCGACTCAGCCTCAAGTGAGCACACCGGTGTACCGTGTGTGTACTAAACGTTGCCATTGGGGAGACAAAGGCGGCCCCGGGTGCGTTGAAGGCCCAACCAACCCGCCCGGTGTGCCCGCACCACCGGCCTTCACAATTGTTGACTCACTAACAGCACGTGCCTCAAAGGCTACACACGGGGGAATCTTTGTCTTTCATGATAGTTATTTTTTTGGGCGATATCGCGTTAATATAAACGTTGTGTCATTAAACCCGCCACCACCCGACACAGCCAATTAGTCAGTTTTAGTGTAATGCGAACATAACTCAGCCAATTCGTCACAAGTACAGCCGCACCGGTGTGTTGGAGAGCAAATCTATGACATTTACAACTCTGAGTCTGACGTTTCGCAAGCAATTACAACCGGCTTCATCAGGCGGGACGGCCGGATTTGTGGAGACATCCTCCCTCCTCTTCCGTTCCTTCAAGAGAGGGCTAGATGTGACGACGTCCCTTGTGAGCTCCTCACTGAAGTCGGTGGGGGGGATTTGATTTGCACTTTGTTTCCAAGGGCCTCTGTGCCGTGAGCAGAGTCGTCCAATAGGAGGTAGATGGCCGAACGAATCGGGGGCCGACCGTCCTGGGCCACGCCCACCGCCCTCGCACTACGACGTCTGTCGAACCCTGGTTATGCTTGTGGCGCCACCAACTCGGAGTGGCGGTTATCTGAACCGGTCCTGGGCTTCTCCCCTAGGTCAACTCGGCCTCAAATGAGTACCTGGGTGTGACTCTTTGGTTCTTTCGGTAAAGTCACGTATAAAGAGAAAATAATAAATTAAATACTAGCATACGACGTTTCGATTGCAACACAAGCAATCATCATCAGGTATAAATGAAATAGAAACACAAATCTAGTATACTTAGAAATGTAATGTAATACAACAGAGAGTCGGATAACATAACAGTCAACACCCTACCTGGTTGATTACGTTCTTCCTGAGAATGCTAAATTTGAGAGAGAGAGATACAACACAGAACCAGAGACATATAGACAGACATATAAGTAGAGACAGATATCACAGAGATACATAGAGAGAGAGACGTACATAGGCACACAGAGAAACCACGTCTCTGTGTCGAGGCCTTAAATAGAGAGAGGGGGCGGGGGCGGAGAGAGAGGGAGGGGTTAGAGGAATTAGCATGTCAATGAGTGGCACGCTGCAGAGAGGGAGAGGGACAAACGGCCAAGACACTGTAGTGTGTAGTAAACACAAAGACGGCCCGGCCGTGGTGTTGGCCACCCACCCCCTCGTGTGCCGTGCCGGCCTTCATAGGTGCTCACTAACAGCACTTGCCCCAAAAGTCTGTTAAGGCTATACGGGGGATCTTTGCATTTTTATTTGTAACCCCATGTGCATTTATACATGTGTAACCCCGTGTGTGTAACCCCATGTGTGTGTGTAACCCCGTGTGTGTGTGTATGTAACCCCGTGTGTGTGTGTAACCCCGTGTGTGTAACCCCGTGTGTGTGTGTGTGTAACCCCATGTGTGGGTGTGTAACCCCGTGTGTGTGTAACCCCATGTGTGTAACCCCGTGTGTGTGTGTAACCCCGTGTGTGTGTGTAACCCCATGTGTGTGTGTATGTAACCCCGTGTGTGTGTAACCCCATGTGTGTGTGTGTAACCCCGTGTGTGTGTGTGTAACCCCGTGTGTGTAACCCCGTGTGTGTGTAACCCCATGTGTGTGTGTGTAACCCCGTGTGTGTGTGTAACCCCGTGTGTGTAACCCCGTGTGTGTGTGTGTAACCCCATGTGTGTGTGTGTAACCCCATGTGTGTGTGTGTAACCCCGTGTGTGTGTGTAACCCCGTGTGTGTGTAACCCCATGTGTGTGTGTGTAACCCCATGTGTGTGTGTAACCCCATGTGTGTAACCCCGTGTGTGTAACCCCGTGTGTGTGTGTGTAACCCCATGTGTGTGTGTAACCCCATGTGTGTAAACCCCGTGTGTGTGTGTAACCCCGTGTGTGTGTGTAACCCCATGTGTGTGTGTGTAACCCCATGTGTGTGTGTATGTAACCCCGTGTGTGTGTGTAACCCCATGTGTGTGTGTGTAACCCCATGTGTGTGTAACCCCGTGTGTGTGTGTATGTAACCCCGTGTGTGTGTGTAACCCCGTGTGTGTAACCCCGTGTGTGTGTGTGTAACCCCGTGTGTGTGTGTAACTCCGTGTGTGTAACCCCGTGTGTGTGTAACCCCATGTGTGTGTAACCCCGTGTGTGTGTGTATGTAACCCCGTGTGTGTGTGGAACCCCGTGTGTGTAACCCCGTGTGTGTGTGTGTAACCCCGTGTGTGTGTGTAACCCCGTGTGTGTAACCCCGTGTGTGTGTGTGTGTAACCCCGTGTGTGTGTGTGTAACCCCGTGTGTGTGTGTAACCCCGTGTGTGTAACCCCGTGTGTGTGTGTAACCCCGTGTGTGTGTGTGTAACCCCATGTGTGTGTAACCCCGTGTGTGTGTGTGTAACCCCGTGTGTGTATGTAACCCCATGTGTGTGTGTAACCCCGTGTGTGTGTGTGTGTGTAACCCCATGTGTGTGTGTAACCCCATGTGTGTGTGTAACCCCGTGTGTGTGTGTGTAACCCCATGTGTGTGTGTGTAACCCCGTGTGTGTGTGTAACCCCGTGTGTGTGTAACCCCATGTGTGTGTGTGTAACCCCATGTGTGTGTGTAACCCCGTGTGTGTAACCCCGTGTGTGTGTGTGTAACCCCATGTGTTTGTGTAACCCCATGTGTGTAACCCCGTGTGTGTGTGTAACCCCGTGTGTGTGTGTAACCCCATGTGTGTGTGTGTAACCCCATGTGTGTGTGTATGTAACCCCGTGTGTGTGTAACCCCATGTGTGTGTGTGTAACCCCGTGTGTGTGTGTATGTAACCCCGTGTGTGTGTGTAACCCCGTGTGTGTAACCCCGTGTGTGTGTGTATGTAGATTCGAGTCCCTGATCGGGAGAAGGAAGAAGTTCATCAGGAAGATGTCTTCGTACGGCGCCAGCATCCTGCTCATCCCCGCCTTCACCGTGTCTGCATTCACGTCGCTTGCGTACAGGGTAACCACGGGCCCACTCACATCCACCGTGTCCACCAGTGTCCACCTGTGCACCACGTGTCCATTCTGGATCACACGTGGCAGCGATTCCTCACACCCCCGTCCCCCTTCCTCCCCCCACGCCCCCCCCCCCCCAGGCCATATTTACCCTGGAAGACTTTGAGTCCCAGCAGCGCGTGGCCTTCTTTAACCCCTCGTACATGAGGGCCATCTCTCGCTTCTGGAAGAAACGTGGCGTCCAGGAGTCGCACATCACCTCGGGCCTCATGATGGTAACGATGCACCACGGGAAACATTCTCCAGTGTCTCCCAATGTCTTCCGGGTCTCCCAGTCTCTCCCAGTGTCTCCCCATGTCTCCAGCGTCTCCCAATGTCTCCCCATGTCTCAAAGTGTCTACACCCTGCCTCCCAGTATCTTTTAGTGCTTCCCAGTGTCTCCAGTGTCTGCCAGTGCCTCCCCGTGTCTCCCAGTGTCTACACCTCTGCCTGCTCGTGTCTCCCAGTGTCTCCCAGTGTCTCCCATTTCTCTCAGTGACTCCCAGTGTCTACACCTCAGCCTCCCTGTCCCCCGTGTCTCCCAGTGTCTCCCCGTGTCTACACCCCTGCCTCCCGTGTCTCCCAGTGTCTCCCTGCGTCTCCCCACGTCTCCATTTTTGTTTCATTAATTAAATACATTTTTTGAGTAAAAGCTCGCCCCAATTGGAGAGGGCATCGCAATACGTTATGGTATAAATTAAACGAAGGTAGTTCTCCTACCTACATGTTGCACACCCGAAATTAAGGACGTGGACAGGTGCTCCAAATCGAGGGCTAACACATTAATTGTGATAATCTATAAAATGCAACAGCACGTGTGTCATACAGAAATTCTCAACCGAGTCGCCATTAACCACGTGACTGTTGTACAGGTCAGGTTACTCAACAACAGTTTCCCTTAAACCCAATTCCACTACTGATAAACCATCTTTGTCTTTAATCATAACCTTAACACTTCACTATTCGAATATTACTTTAATCCTAAGCTGTATGTCTATCTATACCATCCACTTATATTAGTATCTTACACCCATTATCTGTACTGCATATGTACTGTATACGTACTGTAAAAAAAACATTTGGGTCCTTTTCCTGTAAAATGCAACAGCACGTGCATCACAAACACAGCAAGTCGCCATTAACCACGTGACTGGTGGACAGGTCCGGTTACTCAATAACCCTGCCAGCCACCTACAGGCCCTACTCAGTATCGCATGCTGGTGTCCACACGAGCATTGATGTACTGCACAGGACATAAGGGACGTTCACAAAACCACACTTTAATCCATTGCTGCACAAGGAAAAAATTAAAAGAGTGGTCAATTCCTAATGTGCCATATATAAAATTAACACACGTACCAAAATATCGACCACAGGCCAAAACGAGCAGGTGTCGTGGTAGCACAATCAGATAGTGGTTAATACTGAAGCACAAATCAAGAGATAAGATCAACTGGTTTCTAGTCAAGGTGCAGCTCTGGCAGATGCAGAGGGAGCAGCCTGTGTCTCCCCGTGTCTCCCCATGTCTCCCTATGTCTCTTCGTGTATCATTGTGTCTCTCCGTGTCTCCCAACTTCCCCTTGCATCTTCCCTCATAAGTAAGTCTGAGCATTTCTTTATGAGTCCACCGCTACGGTGGCGAGGAGATGCCAACTACCTCGCCTGTTGTACAGGAGGCTTTGATCCTGATCCTGACGCCTGGTGTATAATCGGAATTTGCGTGCCTCTCTCTCTCCCTCTCCGCGGTCGAGTAGATTTTTTTTCAGGGTCCTCTGGTTTGTCCCCTCCACATTCAAAATCAACAACACACGTTTATAAAATTTGGCTGCTGATGTAAAGTTCCAGACGATGATGATGATAATAATAAGCCAATCTTGATTTGAAGCTTTCGTGACTGCAGGAATCCATACTCTTTGGTTCTTTCGGTAAAGTCACGTAGGTATAAAATAAAATAAATCACGAAGTTTCGGCCGCAACACAAGCGTCCGTCATCAGGTGGCAAAGCATGGTCTGCTGCTGAGGCAGACTCTTCTAAAAGGTTTGAAATGGGTGTAGCCCAAGGGTCATAAAGAAGTGGCCGGGGCTAGTGATGTTAATGTGAGAAATGAGCATGTAACTGTAAGATAGGAGAGCGGCCTCCTGAGCATGCAACTGTAAGATAGGAGAGCGGCCAACTCGACGAGGACACAGAAGTGGCTGTGTTAATGTGAGAAATTAGCATGTTAATATGAAATCGAAGAGTGGTGCAATCCAAAGGCATGAGTGCAACCCAACGGGTGCAATCCAAAGGGCATGTGAGTATGAGAGTGCAATCCAAAGGACATGTGAGCATGAGAATGCAATCCAAAGGTATGAGAGTGCAATGCAAAGGACATGTGAGCATGAGAGATCTAAGAGAGAGGCATAGAGAGAGACACACAGAGAGTCGGAAATAACAGCTGACATAGGCAGGTAGGATGGAAACATCACAGTCAGTTAAGACTTTATCTGGTTAATAACGTCCTACCAATGATTGCTGAGTTTGTACCCATCCTCTCGGTTGAAGTTGTGTCTGTGTTTATATATCTGGATGGCTTCATGAACAAATCTCTGAAGGTAGCTGGTAGGCTTGCAGAGTACCTCTGTCTTGGAAAAATCAATTTCGTGTGAGCCCACAGCGTTAAAACAATTATCGGAAACGGCAGAGGTATTGGTCCTACTGTTTTCCAGATCTGCCTTGTGTTCACGAATGCGGTCCGAGACATTTCGTTTCGTTTCCCCAATGTAACTGCTGCCGCAACCACAACTCAGTTTGTGTGCTGTGTTGAAACGAACCTGGATCTTGTGTTTGTTTAAGAGTTTGGAAATCTTTTTGGTAACCCCTGATATGTACGGTAAAGTGATGGTTTTGGATGGATCCTCAGAAGGTTGTTTCCGTTCATCTTGAGGGCTTGGTGTACGTGCTCCAACTCACTGGCTAGGTGGTGCTGGTCGGAGATGCAACGGGCCCTATGGTGTCGTGTTTTGAAGAGGGAATTCTTCTGGGCTGGATGGTGGTGGGAGTCAGGCTTTAGATAGGCATCCGTGTGGGTGGCTTTCCTGTAGACCGAATGTCCCAACGAGCCATCAGGTCTCTTCTCGATCAAAACATCCAGGAATGGTAGTTTGCCATCATTTTCCACTTCCATGGGGAATTTAAAATACGGGTGTATGGAATTGACGTGGTTGAGAAATGGGTGAAGTGCTGGCAGGCCATGTGGCCAGATGATGAACGTGTCATCCACATATCTCTTCCACAAGGAAGGACATAGGGTGGATGACTGGATGGCATCTGTCTCAAATTTGTCCATGAAAACATTCGCTACCACTGTCGATAAGGGAGAACCCATTGGGGTACCTTAATTTTGTTTGTAGAATATACCATTCCAGGTGAAGTATGTGTTGGTAAGGCAGTGCCTTACTAAAGTTAGTACATTTGGATTCAGTCCTTGTTGCACCCGAAACGTTGTGATTTATTTTATTTTATACCTACGTGACTTTACCGAAATATGCAAAGAGTAATAATAAACCACTTCATTGAGATATCATTCATGATAGCCAAGTGGCTTCTGAAAGAATAGCTACGTAGCATCTCAGTGATTCCTAACGCATTGGGATCCTCGGATGTAATGCACATTATACATTCGTATTGACATTAGCAGCTAAAAATGGTTAAATAGTTTAAATAGAATGTACACACTCCCATAAAATTATCCCCGTGTCTCCCAAAACATCTCCCACCTTCCCCTATCTCCCCCTCCTCACTCCCACACCCTCCCCCCCCCAGACAAGCGTGGCCATGGATCTGTGCAACGAGGTGCACGTCTATGGCTTCTGGCCGTTCGTGTACGACCTGCCCACCCCGGTGCAGGTGAAGGAGGACGAGAGAAGGAGGATCCCAAAGAGGAGCAGGAAGAGGAAGAAGCGGGCGCAGGCTGCCGTGCCCCTCACGGCCGCCCCTGTTGACCGACCGCTGGGCCGCCGGCTGCCCCACCACTACTATGACGACCAGCAGCCCAAGTCAGGGCACTACATGCCCAGCGAGTTCGCGGAGCTGCTGAGGCTGCACAGCCGCGGGGTGCTCCGCCTGCACGTGAACGCGTGCGGGGGGCAGTGATAGCGCGGCGGTGGTGGCGGCAGCGCCTGGGGGGAGGGGGGGGCTGGTTGTTACCCACGTTCCCACCAGAACCCACGTTCCCAGCAGAACTTACGAACCCCCCAAGAACCCACGTTCCCCCTCCAGAACCCACATTGCCACTAGAAACCTACGTTCCCCCACCAGAACCCACGATCCCCCCAAGAACCCACGTTGCCACTAGAACTGATGTTCCCACCAGAACCCACGTTGCCCCAACAGAACTCACGTTCCCCCCAAGAACCCACGTTCTCACCAGAACCCAGGTTCCCACCAGAACCCAGGTTCCCCCCCGGTACACACGTTCCTCCTCCAGAACCCACGTTGCCCCTCCGGAACCCACGTTCTCCCTCCGGAACCCACGTTCCCCCTCCAGAACCCACGTTCCTCCTCCAGAACCCACGTTCCTCCTCCAGAACCCACGTTCCCACCAGAACCCACCTTCCCCCATCAAAACCCACATTCCTCCTCCAGAACCCACGTCTCCCCTCCAGAAACCACGTTCCCCCTCCAGAACCCACATTCCCACCAGAACCCACATTCCCCCCGTTACCCATGTTCCCCCTTTGGAACCCGCGTTCCTGACGGGGGGGGGGGGGGGGGGGGGCTCCGATTTCTCTCTCCGAGGCCTTTAAAGACGTTTACGAGGCCTAAGGTCGTCGTCAGGCCTAGAAGGGACTCAATGTGCGGGGGTTTAGCTCTGATCTGTGGCTTCCTTCGGACCTGGGGCTGAAGGGAAATCAGAGTTTACAATTTGTAGTTTGCATTTACACGACGTAGCAATGCGCACCTACTTGCCTAGCGAACTCGCCGTAGGAGTTTTGCCAGGCCTAAGATATCAATCATCTGGTCGAAGAATTCTCCATGACACTGAGATTCGTTTCGGCCCGACAGTTTTCACTCGGGGTGAAATTTCACAAGACCCTGACATTACCAGAATCAGATAATGTATTTTTCCCAGAGGAGGAATCTGAAGAGCTATGAAGCTCACAGATGTTTGCTGGGCAATAAAACCAGTCGAGGCTCAGGGAGTGGTGGGCATTTGGCTGGGAAGTAGGCAACCAGTGTTCGTGAGTTTAACCTAATTGTTTACGATGTTTTAAAGCACAGTCCATTCTCCCTATAACGCGCTATAGGGTGGATACGAATAGGATATGTGACGAAATTGAGCGAACGGAATTACGGTTGCGTGAGTGGGGATAAGCGGTCGTATGGTTGCCTCGGTTTAGCGTCATACAATAAAGGTATTGGGATGCTGCTGGATGCTTTTGGATACTACCTAGAGTCACAACAAGGCATTGGGATGCTGCTGGATGCTTCTAGATGCTACCCACCTTGCATCCTCAATCTTCGTTGGGCCCTGCGTATGCATCTCACGCACTTTCTCGCGGACCATGCTTTACCCCCTGCATTATATATTATTTATTACGCGACTACTGCCTCCCGCCGTGTTGTCGGGCAGCAGGACCGTCATATAAATGACGTTCGGTATTTATTTAGGACGTGTTTGAACATCTTAACACAACTCCTATTTTATTGCCAGAAAGGATCAACATTTTTTTATTATTCTTCATACTTTGATACTGGCACAAAAGGTATCACATGAGAAAGCTGATCACCCCGAGCTATACATACTATAATACACGTGCATTGTCTTTGTGCTGTTCGCTTTTTGGCATTCTCTGGTCTGACACTGGTGATGAGTCTACATGAAAGACAGCAGAAGTCTGCTGTCTCTGGTGTAGGCCAATCAGTTTCAAAGACAACGCCCATGCATTATCAGAGCACGTTTGTTTGCATGTTCACCACAAGTACTGTTTGTGGTTAATGCAGTGCTTGATTCCTTGCGATAAGTATCTATTTGGTTCAAACACCAAATAGATACCTCCTGTTTTATTGGCAGAAAGGGTAAAGTCTGTTCTGATTTTTCGTACGTAATATGTTGAACTTCTTTCCCACCACCGTACGTATCCAACCGCGCTAATTGGAGGTGTAGGGGGGAGGGAAGGAGAGCAAACTAAACACAACAACAATAATTTCTAAAGAAATTAGTTTGCCAATCTAGATGATGATTTAAAAGTGCCACAACTCCCAGTGGCTTGCTAATGTCGCAAGGAAGGAGCGTTCCAGGACGGCACCAGAAGCGCGTTTGAAAGCGCCACGTGGCGACGATACGATGATCGCCGTCTTCGTTCGACGGCTTTGCCAGAAGCCGCCGCCGCTTGCGAGGATGACGAGCGGAGTTCGTGTGACAGACGGAATGAAGTAGGGCTGAACGATTTGGAGAAAATATCTAATTGCGATTTTTCTGACAGATATTGTGATTGCGATTTGATGTGAGATTGATTTTTTTAAAAGTCAAGCTTCGGTTCAATATTCACTGTGTAATAGATGTAAAACATGTGATGGAGTATTACCCAATGATACTCATCACAATATGAACTGTTCTATATATCCTAATGCAAGGATGGGAACTTAAATGATATGAATTGCTTCCAACATGTATTTATTTAAAAAAAAATAATTGAAATAGAACAATCAAACATAGAATAATTGTTAAGTTAAATAAATAAAGTTACAATAATAAAAGTAAAACAATCCCAATAAGAAAGTCATAGGACCTTTCAGGTAATCAATAGAACATTATTTACTGATATCCAGCATATAGCTTATGAATTAACACTACCACAGAATAATTATCAAAAAAGCGATCGCTAAATAATAATAGAAATAGGAATATAAATACTCTTTGGTTCTTTCGGTAAAGTCTCGTAGGCAGAATAAAAATAGATCACGACGTTCTGATCGCAATGCAAGCAATCGTCCTCAGGCAGAAAAAAGAGGAGGCAAGCTGATGATGCAGGCTGCTTTTAAAGGGTAGAAATGGGCGTAGCCCAAGAGTCATAAACGACTGAGAAACAAACGACTGCATTAACGATAATCGGCGGTAGGGAGAGAGAGAGGGGTGGGGCAGAGATAAGAAAGGGGCTACGCGTGAGACAAGAGGGGAGAACGGCGGCAGGGGGGAGAAAAAGATTTGTCCATGAAGCCATCCAGATATATAAACACAGACACAACAATCACGACAGCTGTGATCCAGGGTATTTAGTCTTTCTGTTTACAATCCCCTCAATGCCCTCTCTCACATGTAAAATTTACGATCTCCAAAGTAGGTGTGCAACTTGCGCATATACAGAAACGTAATTTATTACTTTCTTCGCGGTGTGTAAAGGATGATTATGAAGATGATTGTTTTTCGGTGTGATCACGGTGAGCTATGTTTCATGGTGGAAATATATATGGCAATTCTGTAATATGTTTTATATCTTTCTCTCTCCTTCTACCCTTCCAATGGAATCAACTCCCCCTGTACATAAACTCAGCACTGCTAGCCATAGAGTCAACACTCCCCATAGACTCAACAGTACTCATAGACTCAACACTGCTAGCCATAGAGTCAACACTCCCCATAGATACTCTTTGGTTTTTCGGTAAAGTGACGTAGGTAAAAAATAAAATAAAATAATTGAAAACAACTAAATGAAATCACGACGTTTCGGAGGCAACACAAGCTTCCGTCTTCAGGTGGAATCGTTACAGCCAAAGTCACTGTAGTAAGTTGGTATGCACTGCTGTAATCATAGCAGGTACCACCACAGACAGTATGCACTGCTGTAATCATAGAAGGTACCACCACAGTCAGTATGCACTGCTGTATTCATAGCAGGTACCACCACAGTCAGTATGCACTGCTGTAATCATAGCAGGTACCACCACAGCAGTATGCACTGCTGTAATCATAGCAGGTACCACCACAATAAGTATGCACTGCTGTAATCATAGCAGGTACCGCCACAGTCAGTATGCACTGCTGTAATCATAGGTACCACCACAACATGCACTGCTGTAATCATAGCAGGCACCACCACAGCAGTATGCACTGCTGTAATCATAGCAGGTACCACCACAGTATGCACAGCTGTAGTCATAGGATACCACCACAGTCAGTATGCACTGCTGTAATCATAGCAGGTACCACCACAGTCGGTATGCATTGCTGTAGCGAAAGCAGGTACCACCACAGTCGGTATGCACTTCAGTAGTGAAAGCAGGTATCACCACAGTCGGCATTCACTGCTGTAGTGATAGCAGGTACCACCACAGTCGGTATGCACTGCTGTAGTGAACGCAGGTACCACCACAGTCGGTATGCACTGCTGTAGTGAAACCAGGTACCACCAGAGTCGATATACACTGCTGTAGTGAAAGCAGGTACCACCACAGTCGGTATGTACTGCTGTAGTGAAAGCAGGTACCACCGCAATATGCATTGCTGTAATCATAGTAGGTACCACCATAGTCAGTATGCACTGCTGTAATCATAGCAGGTACCACCACAGCAGTATGTAGCAGGGACCACCACAGCAGTATGCACTGCTGTAATCATAGCAGGTACCACCACAATATGCACTGCTGCAATCATAGCAGGTACCAACACAGCAGTATGCACTGCTGTAATCATAGTAAGTACTACCACAGTCAGTATGCACTGCTCTAATCATAGCAGGTAAAACCACAATATTTACTGCTGTCATGATAGCAGGTACCACCACAGCAATATGCACTGCTGTAATAGCAGGTACCACCACAGCAGAATGCACTGCTGTAATCATTGCAGGAACCACCATAGTCAGTATGCACTGCTGTCGTGAAAGTAGGTACCAACACAGACATTATGCACAGCGGTAGCCATAGGATACCACCACAGTCAATATCCACTGCTGTAATCAAAGCAGGTACCACCAGTCAGTATGTGCTGCTGTAGTGAAAGCAGGTTCCACCACATTATGCACTGCTGTAATCATAGCAGGTACCACCACAGTCAGTATGCACTGCTGTAATCATAGCAGGTACCACCACGGCAGTATGCACTGTTGTAATCATAGCAGGTACCACCACAATATGCACTGCTTTAATCATAGCAGGTACCACCATAGCAGTATGCACTGCTGTAATCATAGTAGGTACCACCACGGTCAGTATGCACTGCTGGTATCATAGCATGTACCACCACAGTCAGTATGCACTGCTGTTATCATAGCAGGTGTAGTGACATAAGAAGGGAGGGGCTGCTGTAGGCTCTGGGTTCCCAGGTGGGTCCAGACGCGTAATCCCCTGGGCGCCAGGCGCTGGGTTCCCAGGGGGTCCAGACGCTTAAGCCTCTGGGCGCCGCCAATGGGGGGGGCTGTGTGTGCTCTGTGGGATGTCTGGTGGCGCACACGGCCCCACCCCTCGTTGGGGACTGGGCATATAACCGGAGCTCCCTGGACGATCGGGCCCAGTTGTAACTCAAGACCCAAGACCCACGACCAGCCATCTGAAGACCCTGGGATGCTGTGAGAGCCAGCGCTGGGACTCTGGAACTCCCGACTCTACGACCTTGTGAGGGCGAGCGTAGCCAGAGTAGAGTATCTAGAGTATCTAGGCTGTGTAGCTAGGCTGTGTACCTAGGCTGCAACAGAGTATCAGGACTGTTGGAGTGTTGTATTGTAATAAAGAAGTTACATCTACAAGTGTCTCCAGAACCTGTTACACAGGTA